ACTGCACGTGGACATATACAGTAGCTAGACCGTCACACACGCCAGGACGTCGACAGTAGCCAGACCATGACACTGCACGTGGACATGAACAGTACCCAGACCGTCACACACACGTGGACATGAACAGTACCCAGACCGTCACACACGTACCACATACACGTACCCAGACCGTGATACTGCACGTGGACATGTTCAGTACCCAGACCGTGACACTGCACGTGGACATGTTCAGTAGCCAGTCCGTGACACTGCACGTGGATATGTACAGTAGCCAGACCGTGACACTGCACGTGGACATGTTCAGTAGCCAGTCCGTGACACTGCACGTGGACATGTACGGTAGCCAGTCCGTGACACAGCACGTGGACATGTACAGTAGCCAGAACGTGACACTGCACGTGGACATGTTCAGTAGCCAGTCCGTGACACTGCACGTGGACATGTACAGTAGCCAGTCCGTGACACTGCATGTGGACGTGTTCAGTAGCCAGTCCGTGACACTGCACGTGGACATGTACAGTAGCCAGTCCGTGACACTGCACGTGGACATGTACAGTAGCCAGTCCGTGACACTGCATGTGGACGTGTTCAGTAGCCAGTCCGTGACACTGCACGTGAACATGTACAGTCGCCAGTCCATGACACTGCACGTGAACATGTAGTCGCCAGTCCGTGACACTGCACGTGGACATGTTCAGTAGCCAGTCCGTGACACTGCACGTGGACATGTACAGTAGCCAGACCGTGACACTGCACGTGGATATGTACAGTAGCCAGACCGTGACACTGCACGTGGATATGTACAGTACCCAGACCGTTACACTGCACGTGGACATGTACAGTCGCCAGTCCGTGACACTGCACGTGGATATGTACAGTAGCCAGACCGTGACACTGCACGTGGATATGTACAGTCGCCAGTCCGTGACACTGCACGTGGACATGTACAGTCGCCAGTCCGTGACACTACACGTGGATATGTACAGTAGCCAGACCGTGACACTGCACGTGGATATGTACAGTCGCCAGTCCGTGACACTGCACGTGGATATGTACAGTCGCCAGTCCGTGACACTGCACGTGGATATGTACAGTAGCCAGACCGTGACACTGCACGTGGATATTACAGTAGCCAGAACGTGACACTGCACGTGGACATGTACAGTAGCCAGTCCGTGACACTGCACGTGGATATGTACCTGTACGGTAGCCAGACCGTGACACCTGACGTGGATATGTACAGTAGCCAGTATCCATACACTACAGTACACTTGTAACCAATGTTGTCTATTGAAGTACCTAACAGTTTTAGATGTTTATTTCTAGGTGTACTATAAATATGTTCTATATATTCTCTATGCAATCTCTCGTATATGTTGCATGTAAGAGGAACATACAATACATTATATCCCTGGCGATGACAGGAACCCCATCATACCACAAGGCATGATTCTTGTATACAAGTCCTGTTTGAACTTCATTAAAGACATTAACTCACCTGTACCATGTTTAATCGACCTGATCTCTGTGACACGGGGTGAAATCAAAGGAAGCTTTTACAACCACATTAACCTGATCACCATGCCGACAAACAACTCAAGGGAGATAATCCATGTGAATCTGATACAGTAGCCATCCTGAACCGCAGTGTCAAACCAAGTGGGCAGTGGTCAGTCATTTATACGGCGCTTCTCGGACTAACTGATTCACTGTTACTTCTCACGTGCGGCGGGAGCCTAGTCGCCCAAAGCGCCACAATTCGCTGTGTTGACCCGGGATCCTATAATCGTGGGTTCGAATCGCTCTGATTAAGATCCGTGTTTTCTCGGCACCATCCCCGCGCTCGTGCGTTTCACCGAAGTGGTCAGTGTAAATAGGGCTATTAAGCTGTCATGTCGTGACTCAATTCAAATAGTGCTCGAAATGGCGTTAAACACAATTGTTTTCGAATTGGGTTCGAATCCCGGTTCGCCCCGATTATGTTTCTAGGTTTATCAGCACCATATCGTGCTCGTGGGTTTCGCCGAAGTGGTAAACGTCTGAGACCTGCATCACTTCGGGCTTTCCTCCCACATTAAGCTGACACGTCTTGATATGACTGGAATACTGTTAAAAGCGGCGTTAAACCCAACTCACTCACACACTCATCCCACTAGTGCTAATGTTCATCTGCTAAGTGCAAGTATATGTTGAGAAATATGGATTTACAGCTATAAAGCTTCGATTTTTCTGTTGTTTCTTCTTGAAACCGACGACCGCCTCCGTGGTCTAGTGGTAGAGCGTCCGCCCGGAGAGCGGAAGGTCCGGGGTCCGTTCCCCAGCCGCGTCATACCAAAAGACGTTAAAAGATGGTACTTGTTGTTACCCTGTCTGTCGCTCGGCATTAAGGGGTTAAAAACAAGGACTGGTCGGCTCGGAGTCAGTATACTGTGTCTGAGTGGGGTATTCATGTTAAACTGCGGCATGGTATCTCAGTCAGCTAGCACTATACATCGGCATCAGTCCGGACTAGTACAAGCAGCCACACAAACACACACACGTACATGCACGTCGCTATATAAGTGCAATAATCTTGGACGCGACGTTAAATCCCATTTCACCTCACCTCACCTATTCATGTTAAAACTGCGACATGGTATCTCAGTGCGCTAGTCAGTCCGGACTAGTACAAGCAGCCACACACACACACACACACACACACACACACACACACACACACACACACACACACACACACACACACACACACACACACACACACACACACACACACACACTAAAATCCCTTAACCGAAGCTAAAAACCGACCTAAAACCTGAAAACCTCGTACATTTTGTTTGTTCCCACATTTGAACCTTGTTATTTTTTTCGTATTGAATATGACGGGAGCATAACTGCGAGGGTCGTGTAGTGTAGTATGGAACACAAGTAATATGTTTACACACAACGCGTCACCCCAGGATACCCATTCACATCTCGCCGAGGGAGATGCACCGTTATCATCACACCGTTCTCGGCATTGAGCAACTGTCGCGTTAGGTTAATGATGTCGCCTTTCAATGGAAAGGTATGGAGGCCGAGAGGGGACATCGCTTTTTCTCGCCTTTAATTACGGCCGCGATTAAGCGATAACACGATACGTGAAAGCGATAGCACGAGACGAGAAACCGATAGCACGAGGAGAGGAAGCGATAGCACGAGACGTGAAAGCGATAGCACGAGGTGAGAAAGCGATAGCACGAGGAGAGAAAGCGATAGCACGAGGAGAGAAAGCGATAGCACGAGGTGAGAGAGCGATATCACGAGACGAGAAACCGAAAGCACGAGGAGAGAAAGCGATAGCACGAGAAGAGAAAGCGATAGCACGATGAGAGAAAGCGATAGCACGAGACAAGAAACCGATAGCACGAGGAGAGAAACCGATAGCACGAGACGAGAAAGCGATAGCACGAGGAGAGAAAGCGATAGCACGAGGAGAGAAAGCGATAGCACGAGACAAGAAACCGATAGCACGAGGAGAGAAAGCGATAGCACGAGTGTGTGTGTGTGTGTGTGTGTGTGTGTGTGTGTGTTTGTGTGTGTTAGTGTCTCTATGTGTGTGTGTGTATGTGTGTGTGTGTATGTGCGTGTGCGTGTGCGTGTGCGTGTGTGTGTGATTCGTTATGTTATCTTCTTCATTATGGGGGGGGGGGGGGGACTGAGGGATTTATTTTCTCATAAAAGTTAGCTGAGATTTTTTCAGTCACATTCCAAATTATATCTATGGAGAGAATGTTGAAATATTCTCACTAATCACTAAAACACAATAATTGCATAGACGTATGTGATTTTACAACATTCCACGGACTTAAAAATGTAATTGATTCATTTATGGCTCTTTTTAGGGGTTTTAAGGGACCATCACGCCGTCAGCCCGTGGCGGGTCATAGCAATACTCTCTAAATAAATCAGGTTAAAATCTAAATATATACTATTCGAAAGAAGTTAAAGAACGCCCGATTCTTTTATATGGCCATGGTTAGTCAGTCATGGCTGATTATATTGAAAAAAATTGTCTTAAATTGTGGGTGTTCTTTAACTTGTTTTGAGTAGTATATGATGTGTGTATATACAGTGTGAATGCCACACAACACACGAAACTAAAAAAGCACACCTGACAAGAACAAAAATAAATGAGAGTTATCTCCCATTGACTCGTGACTACAGTTGCATATTGGAATTTGAGTGTGTGAGTGAGTATTGTTTTACGCCGTTTTTAACAATATTCCAGTAATATCAGCGGGAGACACCAGAAATGTCTTTTGTCTGCATAATGTACCTCCATAATTATCAGCATAATTGCCATTCCTAAATCGGACGAACGTGTATTCGGTGTCAAATCCAAATCTGTTGACCGACAAAATAATTCTTTGGACAAACCCGTGTTCAAACCCCTCAAGAATACACGCCCTCCACCAATATGAATAATCTATTATTTGAATCACAGGTTCAGGTCAAATACAGATCATGTTCAGGTCAAATACAGATCATGTTCAGGTCAAATACAGATCATGTTCAGGTCAATTACAGATCATGTTCAGGTCAATTACAGATCATGTTCAGGTCAATTACAGATCATGTTCAGGTCAAATACAGATCATGTTCAGGTCAATTACAGATCATGTTCAGGTCAATTACAGATCATGTTCAGGTCAATTACAGATCATGTTCAGGTCAATTACAGATCATGTTCAGGTCAATTACAGATCATGTTCAGGTCAAATACAGATCATGTTCAGGTCAAATACAGATCATGTTCAGGTCAATTACAGATCATGTTCAGGTCAAATACAGATCATGTTCAGGTCAAATACAGATCATGTTCAGGTCGTGTTCAGGTTGAGGTTGTGTTGCGGTATTGAGGTCGTGTTCAGGTTGTGCTTGAATTGTGTAAGGGTTGTGCTATTGTCGCGCCTAACTCGTAAGTAACCATAGTGACAAAATAAGCACATGAGAGGAGCTGCTGGGGGTGCTGTTTATGGCACACTGACGTGTGTAATACAATGATACGAGGGTCAAACTGCGCGCCAGGACGGAGACTTGCGGAGACGTCCGGGGCGACAACTTCAGACATCAGCAGCAGGTGGAGACTGGCATGTGGCGTATATAGACACCTACAGACACGAAAACAAAGATTTAGAATCCTTATTGATGAATGATTTTTGTTTGTTTGTTGTTTAACGCCGCACTCAGCTATATGACAGCGGTCTGTAAATAATTGAGTCTGGACCAGACAATCCAGTGATTGACATCATGAGCATCGGTCGACGCATTGGGATAAGATGAGCAACCATGTATCGATGCCTCTTAAATAGCTGCCTATGATACAGCAGCGGAACAATATCAGCAACACTACAATTTAAGTAACATCAGTATCAGCATCATTATTATATCGGCATTGTTACTACAGCAGCAACACCTTCATACGTCAGTACAATGATATCAGTAGATCTCACTGACAACTGCGTCATTGTAATATCATCTTCATATTTCACATTGTTTGCATTACGACGTACTGCAATGCATTTGATTACAGCTATGAGGTCGGTGTATCTGACTTGACCTCCATGAAGTCGGTACATGTGACTTGACCTCCATAAAGTCGGTACATGTGACTTGACCTCCATAAAGTCGGTACATGTGACTTGACCTCCATGAAGTCGGTACATGTGACTTGACCCCCATGAGGTCGGTACATGTGACTTGACCTCCATGAAGTCGGTACATGTGACTTGACCTTCATAAAGTCGGTACATGTGACTTGACCCCCATGAGGTCGGTACATGTGACTTGACCTCCATGAGGTCGGTACAAGTGACTTGACCTCCATAAAGTCGGTACATGTGACTTGACCTCCATGAGGTCGGTACATGTGACGTGACCTCCATGAGGTCGGTACATGTGACTTGACCTCCATGAGGTCGGTATATGTGACTTGACCTCTGTGAGGTCGGTATATACACATTCGGATGCAGGGCGTCTCACCTCGTCTATGTTGCCTGTAAACATGGGCTCTCCCCTGTTGCCTCGGCCTATTCTCACAGCACACGGACTTCTGGCGATTTCTGTTCAACCAATATCAGTGCATAAAGTCACGTAAGAAGTGAAAACGAAAGTCTGTTGTATTTACTTTGATCACATTATATGTTTTATGTATCTGAATTGACCACTACAATGTGTGACGGGTTGTCTGCAAAACAATGACCGTCACATGTCTAAGTTAAGAAATGCATCACGTTGAGTTTAGCGATAGGGTCCAGCATGTTGCATAAGACTGTAGCCTTAAATCTCCGCCTTGGCCCCGCAGCTGTTCTCTCAACCTAACACCCTCCCTCTGTTTATTGGGCAGTTTCGATCGTCTCGGCGCCGTCCAAAAGGACTCCGGCCGGAATCCATTTCTGATTTTTTTCTTTTACTGTTTGTTTCTTTTTAACGCCGCAATATTCCATCTATATGACAGCGATCTGTAAATAATCGAGTCTGGACCAGACAATCCAGTGATCCACAAAACTGGGATTTTAGACGCCACCCTTTTAAAATGCTGGACCCGCCCTTGACTAGTCTATTATGGTAAAGTATATAGGTAGCAGAAAGAATTTTGCGTGAGATTGGTTTTGCTTCCGTGAGTTTGAATTTCGCACTTTTTTCAATCAATCATCAGATGTTTTACTCCCCTTGTGCATTAGCAACAAACGATGAATGCCTTGAAACTGCAATTTTTTCATTTTGCTCACCGCCTTCCGCTTGAACACTTTCGCTCGTGCTTGATGACGTCACATCTCTGTCCTTAATGTTCAGATCGAGGCTCTGGCCATCATAACGCATCGTGGCCACCAGCCAGGTGGCGCTGCTTGTCTGAGAGGATAAAGATGACGTTTCATTTACACTCATATTACGAGTTATGTCCCTTCTATGTCCCTCCTATTGACCAATCAGATTCCACCTATCGCATAACTTTCATTTCTTTAAACAAAATGGCGGCCCCAAGTCAAGAGGTATGATCTATAATCAAGATCTATATCGTAATAAAACCTGTCTTGCCTAGCGGTAAACTTACCCGAGCACCTTGATTTCAAACATGAACGGTATACATCTTTCAAATCCTGCAATCCACCGAAATCGTCATGGCAGTTTAAGATCATCGGAGGTCGATTTCATTACTCGATTTTGATTGGACTATGCATTGACTCGTAAGTCCAGCCAAACACAAACTCAGAAATTCCAGCCAAGTTCGGCAAGGGTAGAAACTGGACTGTTATAGTCAGTTAACTCCCTTGCCTCGTGAAGATGACCTAAGTGTCAAACCCACCGCAAAGTTCCATCGTAGAGATTGGCTGTAGTCGGTGGAGTTGGTCTTGATGCCGGCGCTGAGTGTCCTCGCGGCTGGGTTTACAGTCATGAACAGCGTGGCCTGGCCGGGGTCTGCGTTGTAGCAGCCGTTACTGACGAGCACCTGTCTGGAGCTGCTTGACGAGAAGTACTGGAAGGTCACCCTCACCCACACGGGGTATGGCCAGTCGATGTTCTGGTAGTGGTAGACGGTGAGGTAGGCCGAGTTTTGGAAGACGCCGTACCCCCCAAGGAACACCACGTCAACATTGCCGACGTATTTCCACGTGCCCGAGTTGTCGTTGAAGCCCCATTGGCCTCCGTCGTTCATGTCAGTCAGAAAGTCCAGCTTGCATTCTGAATTTAGAGTGAGTGAGTGAGTGAGTGGCTGAGTGAGTGAGAGAGTGAATGAGTGAGTGAGTGAGTGAGTAAGTGAGTGAGTGAGCGAGTGAGTGAGTGAGTTGCTGTCTGTCTGTCACTGTACATACCTTGTAGTTCCTTCAAACAGGTGTCAGCCCCCGGTACACGGTTACTGCACGAGCAGACAGTTGCGTCCCAGGCCTGCCTCTCGGGGCACCGTCTCTTGTGGGTGCGGGTGTGATCGGGGGTGAGGAAGTTACAGGGAGACTCAGGGTCCGCCGTGTGCATGCAGGCTGCAAAATATGCACAATGTCTGTGTGGAAATCTTGGCACTACATTCCTATCTTGTTTTGTTTGGTTGTTGTTTAACGCCGGGCAACCCATGCTTGCCGTAAAAGGTGACTATGCTTGTCGGAAGAGGCGACTAACGGGATCGGGTGATCAGCCTCGCTGACTTGGTTGATGCATGTCATCGTATCCCAGTTGCGTGGATCGATGCTCATGATGTCAATCACTGGATTGTCTGGCCCAGACTCGATTATTTACAGACCGCCGTCATATAGCTGGAATATTGCTAAGTGCGGCGTCAAAAAATACCACTAACAACAAATAATTGTGTTATAACAGTGAGCGACCTCTACATACCTGGCTGCTCCCCGCCACACGGGACGGAACACTCCGTCTCTCCCACAATGCAGTACCCAAGGTGAGGGTCAAACCTCTGCCCCCCGGGGCAACACTGGGAGACAAGTTCTCCCCCCGCACACTGGTAGTAGCTGCGACAAGACGCTGGGTCCGTGTAGTTCCGGGCGGCACAGCTCACCCCCGACTACAACAAAAGAACGAGCACCTTGCTACCTGTTTTATTCCTAGGAACTGGTGTGCCCATCCATTTAATGGTGATGTCCAACAACGGATCAGGCCGGAACCCAGGACCATGGGATCTGTCCTAGCAACGCCACCAGAGGATCTGCCCTAAAAACACGACCATAGGGCCTTGTCCCAGCCAAACGATCACAGGATATGTGCTAGCTACGCGACAATAGGACCTGTTTTCCCTTCACGTTAGGGTATGATTGTCCCAGGTGGAAGACCATAGGATCCCGTCCTAGCTACACGACCATAGGATCCCGTCCTAGCTACACGACCATAGGATCCCGTCCTAGCTACACGACCATAGGATCTCGTCCTAGCTACACGACCATAGAATCTCGCCCTAGCTACACGACCATAGGATCCCGTCCTAGCTACACGACCATAGGATCTCGTCCTACCTACACGACCATTGGATCCTGCCCTAGCTACACGAGCATAGGATTCCGCCCTAGCTACACGACCATAGGATCCCGTCCTAGCTACACGACCATAGGATCTCGTCCTAGCAACACGACCATGGGATCTCGTCCTAGCCTCACAACCATAGGATTCCGTCCTAGCCTCACGACCATAGGATTCCGTCCTAGCTACACGACCATTGGATCTCGTCCTAGCTACACGACCATTGGATCCCGACCTAGCTACACGAGCATAGGATTCCGTCCTAGCCTCACGACCATAGGATCTCGTCTTAGCTACACGACCATAGGATCTCGTCTTAGCTACACGACCATAGGACCCCGCCCTAGCTACACGACCATAGGATCTCGTCCTAGCTACACAACCATAGGATCTCGTCCTAGCTACACGACCATTGGATCCCGCCTTAGCTACACGACCATAGGACCCCGTCCTAGCTACACAACCATAGGATCCCGTCCTAGCTACACGACCATTGGATCCCGCCTTAGCTACACGACCATTGGATCCCGTCCTAGCTACACAACCATAGGATCCCGCCTTAGCTACATGACCATAGGACCCCGTCCTAGCTACACAACCATAGGATCTCGCCCTAGCTACACGACCATAGGACCCCGTCCTAGCTACACGACCATTGGATCCCGCCCTAGCTACACGAGCATAGGATCTCGTCCTAGCTACACGACCATAGGATCCCGTCCTAGCTACACGACCATAGGATCTCGTCCTAGCTACACGACCATAGGATCTCGCCCTAGCTACACGACCATAGGATCCCGTCCTAACTACACGACCATAGGATCTCGTCCTACCTACACGACCATTGGATCCTGCCCTAGCTACACGAGCATAGGATTCCGCCCTAGCTACACGACCATAGGATCCCGTCCTAGCTACACGACCATAGGATCTCGTCCTAGCTACACGACCATAGGATCTCGTCCTAGCTACACGACCACAGGATCTCGTCCTAGCTACACGACCATAGGATCCCGTCCTAGCTACACGACCATAGGATCCCGTCCTAGCTACACGATCATTGGATCCCGCCCTAGCTACACGACCATAGGATCTGTCTTAGCCTCATGCCCATATGGTCTGTCCTATCTACACGACCATTGGATGCGTCCTGGCTTCACGACCATTGGATCCCGCCCTAGCTACGCCACCATAGGATCTGTCCTTGCCTCACGCCCATAGGGTCTGTCCTAGCTACACGACCATTGGATCCGTCCTGGCTAAATGACTTAACCCAGCACTACTTCCGGTGTCCTCGACCAGTAGGTCACACACACAGCCTTCTATTCTATCACACAAAGATGCTTATACGAACGTCAGTTCCGAGAGATTCGACATGCTTTGTTGACCTTCATTATATGTGGTGCCATAACTGAAATAGACAAGGGCAAGTGAGTGAGTGAGTGAGTGAGTGAGTGAGTGAGTTGGGTTTAACGCCACTTGGAACAGTATCCCAGTTATATCAGAGCTTATTGTGGGAGGTTAGCCTGATGGATGCTGACCTTAGACATTTCGCACTTTGATGAAACCCAAGACCAAGGGTATGGTGCTGACAATCCAAGAAACATACATGGCGAACCGGGATTCGAACCCACGATCACATGTTTCTGACACGCCTTAAGGACGCAACTATGTAATCAGTACGAATACGTTCTTGTTGGGGTGATTCTAAGCAGACCTGACATCCTCGGTTGACCTGGAAGCCCTGGTTGGCGAGACAACACCGGGGCGTGAGGGTTGGGCCGTACTCGTCCTGCTCACACTGGTAGTACAGTTCACATGAGTCGGAGAACGGGTGGACAGTCACGCTAAATGGCGCGCAGTAATCTGGAAGAGTAGTGACAGTTGTCTGGAATAGTAGTGACAGTAATGTTGAATAGTGATGACAGTAATGTTGAATAGTGATGACAGTAGTCTGGAATAGTGGTGACAGTAATCTCGGATAGTGGTGACAGTAATCTCGAATAGTGGTGACAGTAATGTGGAATAGTGATGACAGTAATCTGGAATAGTGGTGACAGTAATCTCGAATAGTAGTGATGGTACTCTGGAGAAGAAATATTTTAGAATACTAGTCAGTAGAGAAAGTATTGAAGAATAGTGACAGTGATCTGGATCAGTGGTCACTGTGAGTTGGACATAGAATGACATCAATCTGAAATAGCAATGACGACAGCTGATGAGTGATTGCATTAGTTATAAACAAATATGTCGTTAAAAGGATTGTGACACGTATCTGGGTTCTGCTGCCAATAGCCATGTTCTGAAAAAATATCTGACTGCAATCTTGAAATTTGAGTTCCCGTTTCATTGGTCTATATCAATAGCACTTACCACACCCTCCGACTGGCGACTGTAGGACGATACTGGGGTGGTCACATGCCATCCTGTCCGCGTCGTACAGGTAGCCCATGGGACAGGTCTGCTCGTGAGGTCCATCCTCGCTGCACTGGTAGTACTTGTCGCAGCGGCCAGGGTAAGGGAAGAGAAGAGTCTCGCCACCGTGCCAGTTGGAACATGCTGCGCCCGGGGCCGACGCCCCAGGGGTCTCGGTACTAGAAATTGGAACTGGCAGGGTGCTAGTACGCCCTGAAACTGACCCTGTGTTAGAGAGACGGCGGGACATTATTTGAATTTGATGTTTATGTATGTTATATAAAAATGAATTGAAAATATTGATGTAATACTGCAGCTAAGACAATATATACACAACGTCTAAACACCATTTACACAACGTCAACACAACATATACACGACATTTACACACGTTTTACACAGCGTTTCCACAACGACGACACAACGTCAATACAATGTCCACATTACGCCTATGTAACGTCTAAATGGACACACGTAGTCGACACAACGTTTACGTAACGACGTGGAACGGAGTGTGTCCATTAACAACAAACGTTGTTTAACTATGATAAACGCTCTTCTTACCATTGCACTGCAGACTGTTGTCTGAGATGAACTGCGAGAACCCAAGGCTATTTCCAAGTATGTTGAACACAAAAGGAATCGTAGATGCCGAGTTGTAGGCGAGAATTCCCACTGGAAATATCCGAACGTCGATGTCCTGGACGGCAGAGAGTCTGTTGACGTAGTCTCTGACGACAGCCGTGGAGGACAGGGGGCTGGTGAAGATGAGTACGAGCGTGATTGGGTTACCATTGGCGGTCGATCTGATGTTCTTGTTGACCAGGAACGCCAGGGTCTCCGAGACGACTCCTGCTCTGGCGGTGGTGGTCACTCCTGACATGATGTTCCGGATCTGATTTTGTGACACAGAGGAGTCGATGGAGACATATTCGCTGGGGCCTTGGTCAGTGAACGCGGTCACGCTGACCCGTGTGTCTGGATTGGTGGACTTGGCGTCCAGGACGAATAGTTCGACTTGGTCAAGGTAGTTTCTGATGCCACCCAGGAACTGCGTGGACAGGGTCGACGCCTCAAACACAACGTGTACGTCAGCGGGGGCGTAGCTGCATCCTTTTACTGAAAACATTGCAGCGTTAGATAGACGCTTGTGATTAAATGCCAACTACATCGACATTTGGACACGGATGTGTATTGTATTTTGTAAACTCGTTAAAAGAGATTCCGAGAAATACCGTTATGTCAATTAGGTTCATTGCTACTTACTACACTCAATTTACTGCAAGTTATGTTTGATGGATTATTGTTAATACTCTATAAACTGAGGGAATTAACTGTTTAAATGAGACGAGTTTTCTCAATATACCGGTCACGGCGGTTGACATTACACATGGGATAACAAACTATAACTTCCTAGTTTCTTACAAAGTAGAATCAGCACAAACATAAAACATAGCCTTTTGTGTTTTAGGGAGAACGTTACTATAAGATGTTAACTTGACGACTTCTTATGATTGCCCCGGACAAGTTGGACATAGATTCATCAGCACGGATAAAACACTGGGAAAGTCCCAGAGAATACCCACAGCCTGTGTGTCGGAGCGAAGTTTCAGTGCACCTATTTGTTTCTATAGCGTTGTGGTGAAGGATGCTAATTACATCATTGGTATTCTGCTTCTGACGTGGTAGCGACCGTTACTATCTAACGGGTAAGCCCAAACCATTCACACAAACATTGTAGGATGTACCGACCTACATTGCGACTAAGCGTCTGTTTTGTATTGTCCATGTAGTTTTATATGTACATTTTTTATGGATTTATTATATCGCACTTCTTCAAGTGCAAATCTGTATGTACATTTTTTATGGATTTATTATATCGCACTTCTTCAAGTGCCAGTCTGTATGTACATTTTTGATGGATTTATTATATTGCACTTCTTCAAGTGCCAGTTTTTATGTACATTTTTGATGGATTTATTATATTGCACTTCTTCAAGTGCAAATCTGTATGTACATTTTTTATGGATTTATTATATCGCACTTCTTCAAGTGCCAGTCTGTATGTACATTTTTGATGGATTTATTATATTGCACTTCTTCAAGTGCCAGTTTTTTATGTACATTTTTGATGGATTTATTATATTGCACTTCTTCAAGTGCCAGTCTGTATGTACATTTTTGATGGATTTATTATATCGCACTTCTTCAAGTGCTAGTGTGTATGTACATATTTGATGGATTTATTATATTGCACTTCTTCAAGTGCCAGTTTGTATGTACATATGTGATGGATTTATTATAATGCACTTCTTCAAGTGCTAGTGTGTATGTACATATTTGATGGATTTATTATATTGCACTTCTTCAAGTGCCAGTGTGTATGTACATTTTTTATGGATTTATTATATTGCACTTCTTCAAGTGCCAGTTTGTATGTACATATGTGATGGATTTATTATAATGCTCTTCTTCAAGTGCCAGTCTGTATGTACATATGTGATGGATTTATTATATTGCACTTCTTCAAGTGTCAGTTTGTATGTAAATATGTGATGGATTTATTATATTGCACTCCTTCAAGTGCCAGTTTGTATGTACATATGTGATGGATTTATTATATTGCACTTCTTCAAGTGTCAGTTTGTATGTACATATGTGATGGATTTATTATATTGCACTTCTTCAAGTGCCAGTCTGTATGTACATATTTGATGGATTTATTATATTGCACTTCTTCAAGTGCCAGTCTGTATGTACATATTTGATGGATTTATTATATTGCACTTCTTCAAGTGCCAATTTGTATGTACATACTTGAAGCATGTATCCTCATATCACGTCTTCAAGTTCCAGTTTGTATGTATATATGTGAGGTATTTATCTTAATGTCACTTCTCCAAGTTCCAGTTTTTATGTACATATTTGAAGTACTTATCCTCATATCACGTCTTCAAGTACAAGTGTGTATGGACATATCTGTACCATCAATTGTTATTCAATTTCCTCAAGTATCAGGGTTTTTTATGTATATATCTGTAGTATATATCATTATTTCATTTCTTTAAGTACCAATCTTGTCGCTTTATGTATATAGTAAAGATATGCCACGTTGGATTCAACCTCTCTTACTTCAAGTACCAGTTAGTATGGATGTGAGTATGTCATGGTGTTTATGATTATTTTTGTTTTAAAGACGCTTTTTTAAAAAGTTCTGAGATCAGGTTTACGACACTTAAAGACTCAGTAAAGCTTTTAAAAAAATGTGTGTGTTGAACATTTTTAAATTTGACGCATCATTGACAAAACTGATGTCCGATGCAATTCCAAATGTGCCTTGTTCCATGTTCTCATAGGCTTTCCTTTCAGGTACATACTTGACTTGTCTTTGCATGTATTTGTGATGGGGCCACCTTTTCAGGAACACCTGTTATCATCACTTTTTGATACTTGAGTAGGGGGGCACCAGAAATGGGCTTCACATATTACCCATGTGGGGTGTTCATGATATAGTCAGAAACGTACAATCGACTTTGCTTTCAGCAGATATTTCTTATCAATATAGAAAGGGTTTTGTCGCTTTTATTGGTATAGCGCAGCTGCTAGCTGTTACAGTATTATCAGCGGTGATGCTTCTTGGGTGCAGTGCATGGGTGTAAACGAAAGATGGACCACATTCGATGAGATACACGGAAGGCGTGGCTCCTCCTTGAGTACTGAGTTGTTTGACACGGCACATATTGAGAGGTGTTTACCCCGCATGGATGAGTACACTTGAGTCATCAACATATAATACACGTTCCACCATCTACCCCGTGTTACCATGGGAACCACCCAAAGGTAGATACAATTTCGTTTAACCAGGACATCGGGGGGGGGGGGGGGGGGGGGGGGGGGTTATTTCATTATTTAGTTTGAAAATATGAGATTCAGGGCATTCAATCGACATTCCATTATGTTAAATACCCTGGACACATGCGTCACCATATGTCACCATCTCCATGTCTCTAATTAGTAACTTCCCACAGAATATCTCCCACATATGAGAGTCATTTCATTGGACGCTTACCGTCAGTGTCGGGCTATCATTGGACGCCTATCGTCATTGTCGGGCTATTCGAAAGGCGTTAATTAGGGACCGATCATTTGACGCCTATCGTCAGTGTCGGGCTATTCGAAAGGCGTTAATCAGGGACCGATCATTTGACGCCTATCGTCATTGTCGGGCTATTCAAAAGGCGTTAATCAGGGACCGATCATTTGACGCCTATCGTCAGTGTCGGGCTATTCGAAAGGCGTTAATCAGGGACCGATCATTTGACGCCTATCGTCATTGTCGGGCTATTCGAAAGGCGTTAATCAGGGACCGATCATTTGACGCCTATCGTCAGTGTCGGGCTATTGGAAAGGCGTTAATTAGGCACCGATCATTTGACGCCTATCGTCATTGTCGGGCTATTCGAAAGGCGTTAATCAGGGACCGATCATTTGACGCCTATCGTCAATGTCGGGCTATTCGAAAGGCGTTAATTAGGGACCGATCATTTGACGCCTATCGTCATTGTCGGGCTATTCGAAAGGCGTTAATCAGGGACCGATCAATTTAATTTTTCAGCTACAGCTAAAAAAACACATAATTTTTTATGTTTAAAACTATGACCCTGAATTTGTTTTAAAGAAAAACACCTTGCAACAATGTATTTTCTATGGCAGAAAATTTCTTCTTTTTTATAAAAGTCCGAGGCATCATTATTTTCAAGATTTTCGGGGATAATGTAAATTTGTTTAAATCCCCAGCCACTGAATATCGAATAGTTGGTCCCTAAAGATGATGTTATGGTATCAAAAGGGTCCCTAAAGATGATGTTATGGTATCAAAAGGGTCCCGACATTTTGCTGAGATCACGCAGGTACGATGATTCATGAGTATATAAAAAAAGCTGGACGTTACTTACGTGTTTGTATACTGGGTGACGGAAGTGTTGCCATAGCAACTAAAGTCAGCAGGATGCCTGCCCACATCTTCGGTCGTGACGTGGCCTCTAGGCTACAAATAAAAACACACCTGTAACGATGAGCGAAGAATACAACCCGAACTAATGCATTCATAATTTCGAATGATACACATTCCTGGAACTGCATGTTAGAACGATATACTCTGTTTAAGCATCATGTTCCAATATCACACACAAGTACCACGCACAAGTAGCAAGTCCAAGTAACAAGTGCAATGTCCAAGTGAAATGTTCAAGGAACATGTTCAAGTATCATGCCCAAGTGCAATGTCCAAGTGCAATGTCCAAGTGCAATGTTCAAGTGCAATGTTCAAGTGCCATGTTCAAGGAACATGTTCAAGTGTCATGTCCAAGTGCAATGTCAAAGCGCAATGTCCAAGTGCAATGTCCAAGTGCAATGTTCAAGTGCAATGTTCAAGTGCCATGTTCAAGGAACATGTTCAAGTATCATGCCCAAATACCACGCCCACCCAAGTACCATGCTCAAGTACCATATTCAAGTATCACTTTCATGTACCATATTCAAGTATCACTTTCAAGTACCATATTCAAGTATCACTTTCAAGTACCATATTCTAGTATCACTTTCAAGTACCATATTCAAGTATCACTTTCTAGAACCATATTCAAGTATCACTATCAAGTACCATATTCAAGTATCACTTTCAAGTACCATATTCTAGTATCACTTTCAAGAACCATATTCAAGTAGGTCGCTCAATTATAATCGTTCAAGTATGACTTTCAAGTACCAAGTTCAAGTACCGTGTCTAAGTATCACCTTCAAATTATGTATAACTCGTGTGACCATATGAATCTATATGAATCGCATGTGTGTAGGGTTCGTTGAAAGTGTGTTCACCCACCCACCACATTTCTCTGGGCAGTTTTACGATCAGTTATTTCCCTGCAACCTGGGGCCTGTCTATGGGTCTTTACGGTAAGCAACAACGCACGATAATAAACCACCTGCTCAACAGAACTGTGTAAATTGTTAACCTTTAAGCTATTCGTCCTATGCACATGTTTATTTAACATTTGTGACTTTTAAAGGGATCAAGAGATAAGTTGAGAAGCATGTCAAAGAGAGGCCACGTCCATGGGTTACCGGAGCACTGTATCAGCCTTCCCCAGACAGAGTTTAAAGTGTGTGTCTGTGTGTGTGTGTGTGTGGGGTGGGGGGGGGGGGGGGGGGGGGCAGCACCATCACCTACAGGTGACGTCACATGATGATAAATACAGTTCACAATTTCACAATATAGTTATTAACTCATAACAGAATAACCCTACACTATTGCAAATATTGATGTCATATGTTTGATTGCATTCAAAAAGGTAGAGCTATTATATTAGAAAGAAGTGTGTGAATATGTTTTTACGCCGCTTTTAACAACGTACCAACAATAGCAAGGCGAGGCCACCAGAAATGGGCTTCACACATCGTATCCGTATGGGGAGTCGAACCCGGGACTTCGGCGTGACGAGCGAACGCTAAACTATATGTCTTCTCCCCCGTCTCTTATGTGAAAACGTCATGCAGTAATAGTATATTGAAACCCGTACGTGTGCGCTTTTTCCATGGCGATAGTTTAAATTATTAGCTCTTAGATTTTGAAGAAGGTAGGATATAGTAGGTTACTTTTATATAGAATATTGGTAAATACAGGTAGGTACCCTTCTATCCAAGCACACTAGAGTTTGACAAAATGACCTTTGAATTTGAACAAGATATCCAACCGATGCATGGTATGTGTGTTTTCTGAAACCAAAGCATCGAATATATAATATAAAACGTCAAGCCGCTTTAGCATCCTTCTGATAACCAGAGCTTTGGATTGACAAGCTATACCAGCATCCCTCTGATAACAAGAGCTTTGAATTCACAGGCTATACTAGCGTCCTTCTGACAACCAGAGCTTTGGATTGACAAGCTACACTAGCATCCTTCTGATAACAAGAGTTTTGAATTCACAAGCTACACTAGCGTCCTTCTGATAAGCAGAGCTTTGAATTAACAGGCTATACCAGCATCCCTCTGATAACAAGAGCTTTGAATTCACAAGCTACACTAGCGTCCTTCTGATAACCAGAGCTTGGAATTAACAGGCTATACTAGCATCCTTCTGATAACCAGAGCTTTGGATTGACAAGCTATACCAGCATCCTTCTGATAACAAGAGCTTTGAATTCACAAGCTACACTAGCATCCTTCTGATAACCAGAGCTTTGAATTCACAAGCTGTACCAGCATCCCTCTGATAACCAGAGCTTTGAATTAACAGGCTAAACTAGCATCCTTCCGATAACCAGAGCTTCAATTGACAAGCTTTGCTAAACGTCCTTTTGATAACCAGAGCTTTGAATTCACAAGCTATACTAGCGTCCTTCTGATAACCAGAGCTTTAAATTCACAAGCTATACTAGCGTCCTTCTGATAACAAGAGCTTTGAATTAACAGGCTAAACTAGCGTCCTTCTGATATCCAGAGCTTTGAACTAACAGGCTATACTAGCATCCTTCTAATAACCAGAGGTTTCAATTGACAAGCTACACTAGCGCCCTTCTGATAACCAGAGCTTTGAATTCACAAGCTACACTAGCGTCCTTCTGATAACAAGAGCTTGGAATTCACAAGCTAGCGTCCTACTGATTACCAGAGCTTTGAATTCACAAGCTATACTAGCGTCCTTCTGATAACCAGAGCTTTGAATTAACAGGCTTTACTAGCGTCCTTCTGATAATCAGAGCTTTGAATTCACAAGCTATACTAGCGTCCTTCTGATAACAAGAGCTTTGAATTCACAAACTATACTAGCGTCCTTCTGATAACCAGAGCTTTGAATTCACAAGCTAGCGTCCTACTGATGATCAGAGCTTTGAATTCACAAGCTACACTAGCATCCTTCTGATAACCAGAGCTTGGAATGTACAAGCTACACTAGCGTCCTTCTGATAACCAGAGCTTGGAATTGACGACCTACACTAGCGTCTTTCTGATAACCAGAGCTTTGAATTAACAGGCTATACTAGCGTCCTTCTGATAACCAGAGCTTTAAATTCACAAGCTATACAAGCGTCCTTCTGATAACCAGAGCTTTGAATTCACAAGCTATACTAGCGTCCTTCTGATAACCAGTACTTTGAATTAACAGGCTATACTAGCATCCTTCTGATAACCAGAGCTTTGAATTCACAAGCTATACTAGCGTCCTTCTGATAACAAGAGCTTTGAATTCACAAACTATACTAGCGTCCTTCTGATAACCAGAGCTTTGAATTCACAAGCTATACTAGCGTCCTTCTGATAACAAGAGCTTGGAATTCACAAACTATACTAGCGTCCTTCTGATAACCAGAGCTTTGAATTCACAAGCTAGGGTCCTACTGATAATCAGAGCTTTAAATTCACAAGCTATACTAGCGTCCTTCTGATAACAAGAGCTTTGAATTCACAAACTATACTAGCGTCCTTCTGATAACAAGAGCTTGGAATTCACAAACTATACTAGCGTCCTTCTGTTAACCAGAGCTTTGAATTCACAAGCTAGCGTCCTACTGATAATCAGAGCTTTAAATTCACAAGCTACACTAGCGTCCTTCTGATAACAAGAGCTTGGAATTCACAAGCTACACTAGCGTCCTTCTGATAACCAGAGCTTGGAATTGACGACCTACACTAGCGTCTTTCTGATAACCAGAGCTTTGAATTAACAGGCTATACTAGTGTCCTTCTGATAACCAGAGCTTTAAATTCACAAGCTATACTAGCGTCCTTCTGATAACCAGAGCTTGGAATTAACAGGCTATACTAGCGTCCTTCTGATAAGCAGAGCTTTCAATTGAAAAGCTACACTAGCGCCCTTCTGATAACCAGAGCTTTGAATTCACAAGCTACACTAGCGTCCTTCTGATAACAAGAGCATGGAATTCACAAGCTACACTAGCGTCCTTCTGGTAACCAGAGCTTTGAATTCACAAGCTACACTGGCGTCCTTCTTATAACCAGAGCTTTGAATTCACAAGCTACACTAGCGTCCTTCTGATAACAAGAGCTTTGAATTGACGACCTACACTGGCGTCCTTCTGATAACCAGAGCTTTGAATTAACAGGCTATACTAGCATCCTTCCGATAACCAGACCTTCAATTGACAAGCTTTGTAAGCGTCCTTCTGATTACCAGAGCTTTGAATTCACAAGCTATACTAGCGTCCTTCTGATAACCAGAGCTTTGAATTAACAGGCTATACTAGCGTCCTTCTGATAATCAGAGCTTTGAATTCACAAACTATACCAGCGTCCTTCTGATAATCAGAGCTTTGAATTCACAAGCTATACTAGCGTCCTTCTGATAACAAGAGCTTTGAATTCACAAACTATACTAGCGTCCTTCTGATAACCAGAGCTTTGAATTCACAAGCTAGCGTCCTACTGATAATCAGAGCTTTAAATTGACAAGCTACACTACCGTCCTCCTGATAACCAGAGCTTTGAATTCACAAGCTACACTAGCGTCCTTCTGATAACCAGAGCTTGGAATTCACAAACTACACTAGCGTCCTTCTGATAACCAGAACTTTGAATTGACGACCTACACTGGCGTCCTTCTGATAACCAAAGCTTTGAATTCACAAGCTACACTAGCGTCCTACTGATAACCAGAGATTTGAATTCACAAGCTACACTAGCGTCCTTCTGATAACCAGAGCTTTGAATTCACAAACTATACTAGCGTCCTTCTGATAACAAGAGCTTTGAATTCACAAGCTACACTAGAGTCCTTCTGATAATCAGAGCTTGGAATTCACAAACTATACTTGCGTCCTTCTGATAATCAGAGCTTGGAATTCACAAGCTAGCGTCCTTCTGATAATCAGAGCTTTAAATTCACAAGCTACACTAGCATCCTTCTGATAATCAGAGCTTTAAATTGACAAGCTACACTAGCGTCCTTCTGATAACCAGAGCTTTGAATTCACAAGCTACACTAGCGTCCTTCTGATAACCAGAGCTTTGAATTCACAGGCTAGCGTCCTTCTGATAATCAGAGCTTTGAATTCACAAGCTACACTACCATCCTTCTGATAATCAGAGCTTTAAACTGACAAGCTACACAAGCGTCCTTCTGATAACCAGAGCTTTGAATTCAAAAGCTACACAAGCGTCCTTCTGATAACCAGAGCTTTGAATTCACAAGCTACACAAGCGTCCTTCTGATAACCAGAGCTTGGAATTGACGACCTACACTGGCGTCCTTCTGATAACCAGAGCTTGGAATTGACGACCTAAACTGGCATCATAGCTAGCTTGACAATGTATATGTTACACTGTCGCTTTTCGGGTAGCCGATATTTAATGTCGACATGAAGAGAGAGATAAGTGAGGGCCCATGTGTACATAAATTGAATACTCACTTTTTTATGTATTTCCTAATTTCCAAAAAGTAATTGGTGCTCTTCACAAGATACAGAAGTCTGATGTACGTCAAAAGTTGAGACTGTATGAGGTTTAAACATTACTCGCATCTTCTCATTGTCTGTGTAATTCAGGCTACAAATCTATCACTCTATTTATATCCAGTAAATAGACAAAGATTATTCGTGCAAACAGCTGCTGAGATCGCTGATCCCACGATGTAGAAGTGTACGTTGTCATGGAGTCAACACTGAGGGAGTACTATGGAGGTCCTGACGAGGGTGGGGCACATGTCAGATCACACAACCAGGAAGTTGAATGTTTTAATTGCATCAAGCTCTTGCAGTTTTGTTTGCGTAAATCAAGAATTTTAGAAATGGTGTATAAAACCTCATGTTTAAAGAGCAAAGATTTGAGTTCCAAAGGCGACTTAGAGCTCGTTCGAGATTTGCTCTGACAACATCAAGCTTGTTCCATCGATGCCGGCCTAGGTCGCTTTGGAAGCATTGCGTTGTTCTGTGTGGGTTGTGCATTAGGTAAGTAAACTCAACCTGCTCGGACCAATACCTGCGAGTGTCTGTGTTTAAGGAATAATAATACCGTGTAAATACCCCGGGGATCTAGTGAACTGCTACAAGGAGAAAGGTTTGGGGGGGGGGGGGGGGATTTTTTTTTTTAGGGGGGGGGTGGGGGGGTGGGGTGGGGGGTGAGTGGGGAGGGTTTTATAGCATGGAAACCCCAAGAGACGATGAACACACGTATACACAAATTGATCCTAACGTGCTAGGGAGAGTTGCACTTTGCCAAAGTTTCCGAGATAGCATTGAAACTTATATTGTTTACTGAAAGCAGTGTTGTGTAATTCTGAATGATCTATTTAAACTAGCTTCGCGATCGTTATAATACCACAAATGGCATTACCAGCAGCGGGTCATGCATGGGTTGACGTCACGCGGTGTGAGATGCCTTCACGTGGCTGGTGTTTGCTCTATCCAGGTATAGGCTTATGGTTTTCACTACGGATCCATTACTCAATCAGAAAACTATACTGAGGTGCCGGTGATGACTTAAGGCTTAACACCTCCCTGGCAATGACACGTGTACGTATAACACTGTGTCTCTCTCTCTCTCAACCTCAGTTTGATCGAACAGCTGAATTCGTTGTAGCAGTGTCACAGTGGTAAGTTTCATGCGTTCCGCGTTAGGTTTTATACCAAGTGCCGGAGGGGATACCTACAATAACTTTATGTTATCGACATCTTTTAAGATGACATTGTAAAAGAATTTATTGAAAAGATGTTCGACTGAGCTCAGGTGAACTTGTGCTATGTCACGTGAATTTCATTGACTCGGAAAAAGCGTGCTTTCCCTCTTGTCTTGTACGTGGCGGGAATAAAGGATTTTTTCCTCGCTGAGAATTGTATTGCCCTCCAAGGAGGGATACAAAGTATTTAATAAAGATAACGTGAACCAATCAGTTCTCATCATTCTGACATACAGGTATGATAAATGTAGTTATCCCCTGGTCAGGTAAAGACTTATAAATGTAGGTATCCCCGTTAGGTAAAGGCGTATACATGTAGGTATCCCCGTTAGGTAAAGACTTATACATGTAGGTATCCCTGATTAGGTAAAGACTTATACATGTAGGTATTTCTGGTTAGGTAAAGACTTATACATGTAGGTATCCCCGTTAGGTAAAGGCGTATACATGTAGGTATCCCTGGTTAGGTAAAGACTAATAGATGTAGGTATCCCTGGTTAGGTAAAGACTAATAGATGTAGGTATCCCTGGTTAGGTAAAGACTTATACATGCAGGTATCCCCGTTAGGTAAAGACGGATACATGTAGGTATTTCTGGTTAGGTAAAGACTTATACATGTAGGTATTTCTGGTTAGGTAAAGACTTATACATGTAGGTATCCCCGTTAGGTAAAGACTTATACATGTAGGTATTTCTGGTTAGGTAAAGACTTATACATGTAGGTATCCCCGTTAGGTAAAGACTTATACATGTAGGTATCCCCGTTAGGTAAAGACTTATACATGTAGGTATCCCTGATTAGGTAAAGACTTATACATGTAGGTATTTCTGGTTAGGTAAAGACTTATACATGTAGGTATCCCTGATTAGGTAAAGACTTATACATGTAGGTATCTCTGGTTAGATAAAGACGGATACACGTAGGTATCCCTGGTGAGGTAAGGACGGATACATGTAAGCATCCCTGGTTAGGTAAAGACTTATATACGTAGGTATCCCTGGTTAGGTAAAGACTTATACATGTGGGTATCCCTGGTTAGATAAAGACTTATACATGTAGGTATCTCTGGTTAGGTAAAGACTTATACATGTAGGTATCCCTGGTTAGGTAAAGACTTAAAAATGTAGGCACCCTGGTTAGGTAAAGACGGAAAAATGTAGGCATCCCTGGTTAGGTAAAGACTTATCCATGTAGGTATCCCTGGTTAGGTAAAGACGTATACAGGTAGGTATCCCTGGTTAGGTAAAGACTTATACATGTAGGTATCCCTGGTTAGATAAAGACGTGTAGATGTAGGTATCCCTGGTTAGATAAAGACGGATACATGTAGGTATCCCTGGTTTGATAAACACTTATATATGTAGATATCCCTTGTTAGGTAAAGACGTATACATGTAGGTATCCCTGGTTAGATAAAGACTTATACATGCAGGTATCCCCGTTAGGTAAAGACGGATACATGTGGGTATCCCTGGTTAGGTAAAGACTTATACATGTAGGTATCCCTGGTTAGGTAAAGACGTGTAGATGTAGGTATCCCTGGTTAGATAAAGACGTATACATGTAGATATCCCTGGTTAGATAAAGACGTATACATGTAGGTATCCCTGGTTAGATAAAGACGGATACATGTAGGTATCCCTGGTTAGATAAAGACGTATACATGTAGGTATCCCTGGTTAGATAAAGACTTATACATGTAGGTATCCCTGGTTAGATAAAGACGTATACATGTAGGTATCCCTGGTTAGATTAAGACGTATACATGTAGGTATCCCTGGTTAGATAAAGACGGATACATGTAGGTATCCCTGGTTAGATAAAGACTTATACATGTAGGTATCCCTGGTTAGATTAAGACGTATACATGTAGGTATATCTGGTTAGGTAAAGACGGATGCATGTAGGTATCCCTGGTTAGATAAAGACGTTTACATGTAGGTATCCCTGGTTAGGTAAAGACGTATACATGTAGGTATCCCAATTAAGATAAAGACGTATACATGTAGGTATCCCTGGTTAGATAAATACGTATACATGTAGGTATCCTAATTAAGATAAAGACGTATACATGTAGGTATCCCTGGTTAGATAAATACGTATACATGTAGGTATCCTAATTAAGATAAAGACGTATACATGTAGGTATCCCTGGTTAGATAAAGACGTATACATGTAGGTATCCCTGGTTAGATAAGGACGTATACATGTAGGTATCACCGGTTAGATAAAGACGTATACATGTAGGTATCCCTGGTTAGGTAAAGACGTATACATGTAGGTATCCCTGGTTAGGTAAAGACGTATACATGTAGGTATCCCTGGTTAGATAAAGACGTATACATGTAGGTATCCCTGGTTAGGTAAAGACGTATACATGTAGGTATCCCTGGTTAGATTAAGACGTATACATGTAGGTATCCCTGGTTAGGTAAAGACGTATACATGTAGGTATCTCTGGTTAGGTAAAGACGTATACATGTAGCTATCCAAGCAAGCATATATTGATTGATCTAGACATTCAGTGAATACAATGTGCCACTGTTCCCCAATTGCATGTTAATGAGTTAAATATTGATTCAGCAAGGCCTTGTTTCAGTTGTTTTATTAAAACGATCGGCTTATCTCAACACAACGAAATCACATTTAGTTACAGGCAGACTGACTCTCTGAACTGTTGCAAATTTCGCGTTTTTAAAACATGCCACATCGTTCAAGCAACTGTTTTGAAAATATTTATATTTCTATGTTGGATTTTATAGGACATAAAATCTAAGTCACAATAGTAACTACGAAATTGTTTTTAATACTGATGTGTTTCTATGGTTACAGGTTTAAATGTTTCTGGGAAACCTGTATGTGTCTGCCCCCGTCGGTGACCATGTATCATGTGTATGCAGTGGATCGTTCCTGGTTGTGACTGTTGCAACCACAGGCTGCTTTTCCCATGTAATGTCTTAGAAATACAGATTCTTTGTTTAAACAGCAGTGTCATTAGAAACTAGGATTACCAAAACTAGTTGGTCAAATCTTGCAGTTCCTGGTGTCAGCGAGTAAACCAGATTCAAGGACATGTAGAAATCAAACAAATTAAGAAAAACAGGATTTGAAAATTGTTTAACTGCTTTTTTACTCTACCCAAACGCATACCTAACCAAAAGGTATTTTTAAAAATTGTCAAAATATATTTACCTTCAAAAGTTCAACGTGTCGATGATGTTGCGCTGAGAGTGAAAGGCCAAGTGACGAGAAACATACGGCTCAATTCACGAGTTTCGAAAGCATGCAGTTTAGCCGGTAAATCACTTCTTTGAAAGCGGCATACAAACATGGCGCAGAGCATAAAGGTCGACAGAGCGGTTAAAAAACTGATGGAATTGTCCCTAAGCCGTTATTCCGTGCTAGTTCAACTAAACGCAGCAATGATCATACGTAACTTTGAAGAAAGGTCATCTTTGTATAGATGTTCATGACCCCCTGTTGCTTTTGGTAAAAGTGAGTGAGTATGGTTTAACGCCGCTTTGAGCAATCGAACCCGGGTCTTCGGCGTGACGAGCGAACGCTTTAACCACTAAGCTACCCGACCGCCCTGGTAAAAGTGATAAAACTGTTGTGATAAAACTGTAGTGATAAAACTGTAGGAGCAGGGATTATGACTGGATTGTGGCTGGATTGTGAGTGAGTGAATGTTGTTCAATGCCACAATCAGCACCGGCTATATTATTGCAGGCTCTAGTGATTCGAGTCTGGACCGGCCACTGAGTGACTCAGGACATCATCTTGATCAACAATGTCGAGGTAGGATGCCACACAGAGTCTGAACACCCGGCATCCGGTTTTGTTCCGTCACAACTGGCCCTGGGGACCTGTCCTGACCTTTCAGTGATCCATGCTTATAATTCATAAAATGTTGCCTTAACTTCCACTGGTTCGGCACATAATCGAGAATGGCCTTTGACGTTTTGAATTTATGACATACATCGTCCTTCGATGACACCGACCGATGCTTTAAGTGCAGTCCACTCGAGATTCTAGTAACACTCGACATAAAACCTAGTAATACTCGTCATAGAACCTAGAAACACTCGTCATAGAACCTAGAAACACTCGTCATAGAACCTAGAAACACTCGTCATAGCCACATTTGTACAGTAGACATTTATCATTGTATATCCAATTTTGAACTCCCATAATAACATCATGTGATAACATTTTTTTGTAATCTACTTTCTGGCATTTTCAAAGATTTTAACCAAAATATTTTGATTTTTACATATTGATATATATACAAAGTTATGCGATCACATTCACCATATACCATTACATCTTTTACAAGCGAATACATGTACAAATTTAATTTCTTTAGCCTCTGTAAAACGCCATGTTTCCGAGCCATAAGAAAGAATAGGAGCTAACTTTGTGTCAAAACTTTGAAGAAAGTTTTAAAAACAGTCGCTAAAATGTTCAAAAGTTTGTAAAATTCCCAGTCATATCTTCTTAACTTGGTTGGCTCCATTACAACATATGTCGATTCCATGATAATTCACTTGAAAATATTACACCAAGATGTTTATAGAAGTTGCGGTTTGAAGTAAATGTCCCCGAAAGTACGACTATCGTTATTTGACAGCTTATTTCCTTTGCTAAACATATCATTTTTTGTCTATCCAAACTAACCTTTAGTTCCCACGTATCACAGACCAATTCACTCTGACATATCAAAGTGTGTAAACCTTGACATGAAAACACCATTATAGAATCTGCAACTAGTAATATATGTTGTAATTTCATGATGTAATTGTGAACCACAATCATTATTTCTTTTGCTTTGAGTTGCAAGTTCATGAATAAAAAAACAGAACAATAAAGGCCCTGATACACAACCTTGGCGGACACCAGTATGGAGGATTGAAAGATCTGAATACATGCTGTTTTGTTCAACAAATAATTTAACTTCTTTATAAATACTACATAACAATTTGACCATTTTATTACTGATACTATGTGAATTCAAAAAGATACCATTACTTGCCTCTACAGATTGAATCGAATGCCTTAAAAATGTCTACAAATATAGTGTACATTTTCCTCGTTTACTTTGAATCTATAAGAGCCTGGAGGATAAACATATTATCAGTGGTAGAGTAACCTGATCGAAATCCTGTTCGCTTTTCTTTAATCTTATCAAGTGTACCAATCGTTTATTAATGATGATATTAAATATCTTACTGAATATTCACTCACCATCACCCTTCTCTCACTCACTCACTCACTCACTCACTCACTGGCGAGAAACTACAACTGCAGTCACAGCTGATAAAAAACAAACAGTCATCAACATTGCACTATTTTAATAATAGATGGAGGATATGCCGGTGTCCGGAAATACTTGACGCGCATACAATAAATAGAATGGTATAATGGCAACAGATCATTGTCGGGACAGTCGTGGTGGCAGTACTAGCTTATTTTGAAGTTGCAAAAACAACTGAATAAATTAATACTAAAAAACCGGAAATTGTTAAAATTGAAATGTGATTTACATTCATTAGTCGGAAAGGTTTTTAAAGTTGAGTATGATATTTAAGTCATATCGTGGAACAGAAGACTGTGGCGTTTACAATCCTGGGACGACGCACTTCCATGCGGTTACCTGAAACAGAGGATACAATGTGAGTTAAACGCGTAGCCAATCAACGTTCTGGACCAGTGTTCTGGACCCCCGCTTAACCAGCACTGATGTTCTCATATGGATGGGTAAAGAGACTACTCTGCGTTTAAGACATTCGTTAACTACAAAATCTCGTGCGTATCCCTGAGATTAATTAATTTCAAATGTTGAAATTTCTATTTAAGATATTCAACAACTTTGTATACTTTCTTTAATATATGTAGTCAGCATTGACCATATACGGTGACACTTCGAATTGCAGGGTGGTCAATGAAAACATGTCGACATAACCGTTGTTCGAAACAGCCACATAGACCATACTTCCAAGGCTTCTACCAGAGAAAGTCGCAACGATACACAGACATAATGGAATCAAAAGAGGAACACTCGTCTCCAGAATTTCTACCATTAACGTGTCGTACTTTGAACGGTCTCTGTAAGGATGGCTTACCCTGTCAACCTTGCCGTTGAATGCCCTGTCAAGACTTGCCCCCAGACCGACTCTCAGCTGGCAGGTGTTGGTGACAGCTGTGTGCAAACAAGTCACTTATAAAACTAGCATGGGACACCCAATAAAACAGCAGAAGTTTGGGGGAATATTGGCTCATAGTTGCCAACATTCCAATCCAAGACAATCAGAAAGAGAGCCATGTCAACATGACCGTATTTATATTATGCACCATCAACTCGGGACAATACGACCACTGTGATCCATCCGAATAAATACAGTCCATATTGGTCAACAGACATTACATATATTTAAATAGTTTTTATTCAAGTTTCGTTTTGTTCGACTTCGTTAAATCCGGGGTTGCATGTATATCAATCCACGCTCCGAAAGTACGTATGATTACCAACATATATTTTAAAAATCTTATTGGTGAAAAACAATTCGTTAAAGATGGCAGTCAACAACATAAGCAATATGTATATTACAATAATAACACGTGACTGATAAAAACTTACACCCTGCGTAGGTAACGCTATTCCTGACAATGGGTGTCTGGCCATCCGTAACACTGACCGAAAGGTTCTGATTGGCGAACTGGACGGTGGCCTCTAGCCAAGCGTCAGACGACTGCAAGGGAATATCAAAGTTAGCCAGAGACATCAAACAAACTTGGATATTGACTGAACCAGAGAAACAAGGCTGCTGCCAGTATTGTGTTCAACACTTAGGGGAACATGCCCATTCCGTATTTTGGAATAGTTCCATTCTCAATTCATGCAGTTAGTTCCCACTTTGCACATGTTCTATATCATGCTGATACAAATAAAAGTGATTCCATGGCATTTCATTCGTTACCCAAGCAACCGTTTTCGTTAATGTTTCCATAAACCTAAAACGAATTAGGCCATTCCCACTAGAAGACAACTGTTTCTTGATTGTCTGCTAGTGAGTGGGCGTGGCCATTTTGGTTTGGTTTATGGACACATATACGCCAAAAGAAAATGCTTTGTTTGCAAATGAAATGTCATAGAAACACTTGCAAGTTTGTTATCTCTTCATTATCGTGGCCCTATCCTAAAGGTCTTAAGGCCGTTGAGGGGGGTACGGGTGGCCCAGGCGTCTAAGGCGACGCGACTCGCTGTGCAGAGTTGCATCCCTTGGGCACGCCAGAAACCTATGATTGTGGGTTCGAATCCCGGTTCGCCCCGAATATGTTTCTAGGTTTGTCAGCACCATACCCTTGCTCGTGGGTTTCACCGAAGTCGTAAACGCCTGAGACCTGCATCACTTCGGGCTTTCCTCCCACATTAAGCTGACACGCCGTGATATAACTGGAATACTGTTAAAAGCGGCGTTAAACCCAACTCACTCACTCACTCACTTAAGGCCGTTGATACGTGTTGGGATATTGTAGATGCGAGTTGCATTTTAACTCGTTTTTAACCTTTCAACATTATTTGAGAGTTAGGATAGCTATAATAAGGAAATCATTATCAGTCTGGTGATGCCACAGCAAGGATTACTATTGGGTAGAGACAGAATAAAAGACCGCCGGGGGAAAAGAAAGTATACATCTATGTTTGATGGTGGCTAAACTGAAAAAAACAAGAAATGGTGATGCATTTGATACGCGTCTTACAGGCGCAATGACATGTATCGATCAATGTGTATGTCACAACATACCAGCATGGTAACGTTTTCATAACGTTTGTGATTTTTTGGTAAAATTCATTTTTTTAATTGTTGACATTCTTTAACCCGGCAGTTTATTGAGTCCTGACTGACATCTGAGTGGTGTATATTTAGCCGTAGACAACTCACCGTTGGGTTCCAAGTAACTTCGGTAGATGTTCCACCAGTGCCACCAACACTGACCCTGACGGTCCTGCTCGCGGGGACGACGGACAAGGTGAGGGCGTTTTCAGCCGTGTTACAGGCGTTGCTCAAGAGATCCTGCTCGGTGAAGGAGGTCAAGTCCTCGGGCTGGAAGCGCACACGGGCCGTGAAAGGAGCCATGACGTTGTTGTAGAACTGGCTGAGGGAGAGGTGGGCGCCGTTCCCGAAGATGCCAGACTGACCGTCAGCTGACTGGAGGACGGGGCCTTGGTTACCCACCCAAGACCCGACACTGTCTGTCATGCCCCAGGCTTGGATGTTGTCCAGTTCTGAGTCAGCTTGTGGGTCGCATACTACAAGGGGAGATAATTCATTATATACATGGCGTGCCTCGGTGTGTCAATTTGGCCCACATGGTTGTCGGTTGTTTGTGGAGACAAGTGGCCCGTAGAGAGATTTGATTATTTGATTCCTATGTCAGTAACTGTCAGAAAGTGTTGTACCTTTTCAGTTCTAGGGAGGCAGGAATTGTAGGAGAGGGAGAGGGGAGAGACCCTGAGAGAGAGAGGGGGGGAGAAAGAGATTGAGAGAGAGATAGAGAAAAGAGAGGGAGAGGAAGATAAAGAAGGAGGGAGAGGGGAGAGACCCTGAGAGAGAGAGAGGGGGGGAGGGAGAAAGAGATTGAGAGAGAGAGAGAGAGAGAGAAAAGAGAGGGAGAGGAAGATAAAGAAGGAGGGAGAGGGGAGAGACCCTGAGAGAGAGAGGGGGGAGAGGGGGAGGGAGGGAGAGGGTCAGACACAGAGAGAGGGGGAGGGAGATGGACAGAGAGAGGGGGAAAGAGAGTGAGAGAGAGAGAAAAGAGGGAGGGAGAAAGAGAAAAGCGCCACCGTTAAACGTTCACATGTTTGTCATTTGCAAGGGAGGTGTTATATCATTACGAGCGCCTGTATATAGTTTTCTGATTGGTTAATGTGGGGGCTAAATTGCGCCAATGCGTGCATGGTGTCAACACGTGTTGCACAATCTAGTACTCCGAGACAACTTGTTTATGTTTCTCAGTCCTACCTTACCTTTGCTGCGCGGGGCTAGAGCCGTGGGTAGCACTGGCGTTGTGAACTCTGAAACAAAATTGGATTTGTTGAGAAACTAGAAGATACCATATATCTTGGTTTTAGGTCATGAATCTTCTGAGCCGTTCACTAATAATTCACCCTGTGAAGATTCGGGTCAGAAGTTGATCCTTAGCATCCCATGCTTGTCGTAAGAGGCGACTAACGGGATTGGGTGGTCAGGGTCGCTGACTTGGTTGATGCATGTCATCGCATCTCAATTGCGTAGATCGATGCTCATGATACCAATCACTGGTTTGTGACGCGATTATTCATAGATTACTGTCATATTGCTGAGTGCGGCGTTGACAACAAACCCCATGTATATCATATCTTACGACAAGTATGCTATGGGACATAATCTCACCATTGCCCCCAGAGGGTGAGTCTTTGTCCAGGCGAAGGGAAGTGTATGGAATACCGTAAGGGACATTCACGTAGGGGTGGGATATACTAGTGGCTAAAGCGGTAGGTCACAACACTGGAAGACCGGCGTAAAAGCATACTCACTCACTAACTCTTATGTGAGTGAGTGAGTGAGTGGGACAATCGCAAATTTACCTTCTCCTTCACAGGGGAGGCTGCAGATGCCGTCGGGGTCGGGGACACAACGTTCACCGTCAAACCTCTCGTTCACGGGGCAGCAGAAGGTCGTGAGGGTGCTGTCCACGCACTGGAAGTAGTTCCGGCAGAACTTGGGATGGGTGTAGTTGCTTGCAGTACAAGGCGCATCGCCGAATCCTCGTGGCTGTGGAAAGGTAATACAGCTGTCAGTCAACCCGTGAAGTTCCGGGGTAGAATAGGTCTTCAGGAACCCATGCTTGCCACTAGGCGACTATGCTTGTCGTAAGAAGCGAGTAACGGGATCTGGTGGTCAGGCTCGCTGACTTGGTTGTTGCATGTCATCGTATCCCAATTGCGTGGATCGATGCTCATGATGTCAATCACTGGATTGTCTGGTCCAGACTCGATTATTTACATACCGCCGTCATATAGCTGGAATATTGCTGAGTGCGGCGTAGAACAACAAACAAACCGACCATATTTCCGAGCCATAAGAAAGAATAGGAGCTAACTTTGTGTTAAGACTTTCAAGAAAGATTTATAAACACAGTCGCTAAAATGTTCAAAAGTTTGTAAAATTCCCAGTCATATCATTTTAACTTGGCTTCATTTAGACACATGTCGGTTCCATGATAATTCACTTGAAAATATAACACCAAGATACATAGCAGGAATATTGCTGAGTGCAGCGTTAAACAACGAACAATCAAATCAACGAAAACAACTGTCAGTCATAGTATGGATTGAATAGAGCGAAACCTTATGAATCCGGACGATATTGCTCCCACACAAAATAATATAATAAAATAAATTAAAAATAGAATACACTTATGTGAGACACCATGACCTAACTGATATCCAAACCCCATCAAATGTTTCAAATATTAAAACAATCGAAATAGAACAAATAAAACGAAAATTTAACAATTACATCCCTTTCATCCTCAGTCTCACCTGACATCCAACGTTTTCCACAAAGACCTGATCGGTGGGGCAGCATCTGGGTAGGACCGGGGCGTCTTGGATGTTGGTACACTCATAGAACACCTCGCATGAGTTCATGTACGGGTGGACGGTGCGGCCACTGCACATATCTGAAATGAATGAGTTATTAAACCGTATGTCAGTTTTTATTATTTAATGCAGTGTGAAAGACTGAGTTTTCTGAAGTTGGGAAAAGTGATATTTTCATTGCAGTGTATTGTCATACAAGAGTTACCTCCCCGCAAGTTGTCTCCCTTTATCGTAAGTGTCATGCCCGAACATAAACTGTTGACTTCCTTTTTTAAAATTTGTTCGACATTAACAAGGCAAAATACTGACAGATGGTTATTTATGGAGTTAATATCGCTTCTTGTCGTTTGTTATTCACTGGAAAATGTTTTGTAATAAACTGTAAATTTCTCATTTAGTTCGTCAATCGAGACTGTTCGTTTCGCAAAGCGCCTTTTTGTTATTTGACCAACGTGTTTTCTTAAAACAGCGGTCTCGTAGCTTCCAAGCTTTTCAGAAAATTTGAGTTAGTATATAATCATATCCAAATGTATGATAAATAATTTTAGTGACCACAAATATTTGTTAAGATTTTGCAAACTCGGAACTACTTTTTAAGTCGCAATTACAAGGGGTGGTGAAACGTCCCTGCGTGTCAGGTAGGGATAATTCACGTTTCAAGGTTTTACATTTGTAATGAACAAAAATAATTTTCCGGAGGACAGCTACACAAAACGAATATAATAAATAGGATATTTCATGTGTCGAGTGAAATATTATGTTTCTCTCACGCCACTCGTGAAAATATCTCCTTTCCCCCGTCACACGATGAGAGAAACATGATATTTCACTTGACACCTGAAATCAACTCAAAATAGCACGTCAAGAGAATGAAAGGCATTGTTCCCAATGTGAAGGCTGTGACCTGTATGACCTACCGCATGACTCTTCCTGGATGACGTTCCTTGGAAAGTCACAGGTCTGTTTAGAGAAACTGAAGAAGGTGCCGAGCCTGCAATGCAAGTTGGCGCTTGCACCTCTCTCAGAACATTGGTAGAACCTGTCGCACCTGCCGTTGCTAGGATACAGCCTGGGTTCATTGGTATTCCAGTTCGCGCATGCGTTTGGGGGTGGAGTCACTGTAACAGATCACATGACCATTAAGCTTCTTTAGCTTCAGTGAGTGAGTGAGTACTAGACAAGACTTACATCGTATTTATTTACACCACAGGGAAGTTTGGGAAATGTAATTGGGTGAGGTTCCCCATGAAAGACAACCCAGCAGTCATCGAGAGACGGATTGAAAGCCGCTTTGAACAGAAGTTCAGTGACGTCACGAATGCCAGAAGTGATGCCATACCGCAACAGTATTACCGCAGTATTATCATAACAATACCGTGACATTACCGCGACCATCCCGCAGTATTATCATAACAATACCGTGACATTACCGCGACCATACCGCAGTATTATCATAACAATACCGTGACATTACCGCGACCATCCCGCAGTATTATCATAACAATACCGTGACATTACCGCGACCATACCGCAGTATTATCATAACAATACCGTGACATTACCGCGACCATACCGCAGTATTATCATAACAATACCGTGACATTACCGCGACCATACCGCAGTATTATCATAACAATACCGTGACATTACCGCGACCATCCCGCAGTATTATCATAACATTACCGCGACCATACCGCAGTATCTTCACAACAATATCACGTTCATACCGCAACCTTACCGCGTTATTTCCCGCAACCGGACCGCGGTATTCATAACATTTTCATAACAATACCGTGATGGTACCACAACGGTACCGCATATCTTCACAACAATACCGTGACGGTACCGTGACATTACCGCGACCATACCGCAGTATCTTCACAACAATATCACGTTCATACCGCAACCTTACCGCGTTATTTCCGCAACCGGACTGCGGTATCACTCAGCAGTACCTCAGAAGTACAGCAGCTGTATTGCGATTAAAATTGTTACTGTTACTTCCGTGAAACTATACCGCGTAAAGAATGTAAGTAGTTGCGACCTGTGGTGGTATTCAAACACTGACACAGGTAAGGATAAGTGTGACTCCCGCAGACGGGGATTGGGATTTATCTGACTCCCGCAGACGGGGATTGAGATTAATCTGACTCCCGCAGACGGGAATAGGGATTAATCTGACTCCCGCAGACGGTGATAGGGATTAATCTGACTCCCGCAGACGGGGATAGGTACAGAATGACTCTCACAGACGGAGATAGAGATTAGGGTGACTCACACAGACAGGGATAGAGATTAGTGTGACTCGAACAGACAGGAATAGGGATTAGTGACACACAGACAGGGATAGAGATTAGTGTGACTCACACAGACGGGGATAGGGATTATTGTTACTCACACAGACAGGGATAGAGATTCGTGTGACTCACACAGACGGGGATAGAGATTCGTGTGACTCACACAGACAGGGATAGAGATTAGTGTGACTCACACAGACAGGGATGGGGATTAGTGTGATCCACACAGACGGGGATCGGGATTAGTGTGACTCACACAGACGGGGATAGAGATTAGTGTGACTCGCACAGACAGGGATGGGGATTAGTGTGATCCACACAGACGGGGATCGGGATTAGTGTGACTCACACAGACGGGGGTAGAGATTAGTGTGACTCGCACAGACAGGGATGGGGATAAGTGTGATTCACACAGACGGGGGTAGAGATTATTGTGACTCACACAGACGGGTGTAGAGATTCGTGTGACTCACACAGGCGGTAACTCTAATTTATGTAGCTTGGTAACAGCTGGAAAGCAGTACACATTTTTTCTCACAAAATCTAATAAACCTGATATAAATATATTTTGGGAGTGTTCAGTTAGATCAGTTGCACTGACAATGGATGTTCAGGGATTGTTGTTTACCCCCATGCGTCACGGTATCCTTGTATCAAGCGGGTGTTTGATCTTGGCGGTGGCCGATGCTCTTTCAACCAATGAGATGTTTGTTTTAGACAATATCAACCAATGCAATGCTATCATCCTTAAGTGCAAACAGGGCCATGACAACTCAGTAAACTGGTTTAACAAAGACCCTTCGTATTCCCGTGTGTCGGTGTACTGGAAACCTCCGAGATCAGCTCCTGCGCTAATTGTCACCGAATGTGTTTGATACAGAGTGCGCGCTCAGCGACCAAAGTAGACGGGCGATGTCTTTAAAAACTGAACATTCTGTGACATAGATATGAAATATATTTACAGAGCCGATAAACTGACCGAAAATAAAATATTATATACTGCACATTTAGATTTTAGGGTTTTCTGCCCCGAGTCTTAGAATAGCGTGCCGTCTATCCATTCTCATTTTGCCAGCTTGATGATAGGGACATGTAATCACTTTAAGTTTAACCTCTTCGTGATCTGAAAATCACCCCAAAAGTTAGACAAAATAATTTGGAAAATATTGAGAAGATTGAGAATGTATAATTAAGTAATTGTTGCCAAATGGACAACTGGTCAATCGGTCAAGCTCTGCTCCCATTATCAATGTGAGTGGGCGACGATTGACATTTAGCTAATCTGTGGTCATTGTGGGTGATTGTCGAGGGTTTTGGAATATACGTACATGGACTGCAATAGTCCTGATACAGATCAACGAGTAGCGTAATAGTGTATATATGCTTCATTATCCCACATGACGACGATGCAAGACGGGGCCTCCAAGTGCTAGCTTAGCTAAGCTTAGCTTTGCTTTGCTTTTTGCTTAACTTTGCTTTTTGCTTAGCTTAGCTTAGTTTAGCTTAGCTTTTTGCTTAGCTTAGCTTAGCTTAGCTTAGCTTAGCTTAGCTTTTTGCTTAGCTTAGCTTATCGTTTTGCTTAGCTTTGCTTTGCTTTGCTTTGCTTTGCTTTGCTTTGCTTAGCTTAGCTTAGCTTAGCTTAGCTTAGCTTTTCTTAGCTTTGCTTAGCTTTGCTCTGCTTACTGACTGGTCATGGGTCACTGACACTGAGATAAGGTCTCACCTCGCTGGACACTGAGCGTCACTGTGGCAGCCACCATGGCCAGTTGGAAGAGGAGACGGGACTCCATCATCAGGTACCGTTATCTGGGGAGAAATGAAGCGATGATATTCAGGGAAACAGTCTCTTACTCCTATAACTCAAAACAGAGAAAAGCCGAGTTTATGGATGAAGTAAAATACATATCGTATATTTAATGTTACATTTCGCTTGTTTGAAAACACGGGAGGGGTGGCAGGGTAGTCTGGCGGTTAAAGCGTTCGCTTGTCACGCCGAACACCTGGGTTCTATTCCCAACATGGGTACAATGTTTGAATCCCAATCCTGGTGGTCCCCGCCGTCATAGTGCTTGGATATTGCTAAAAGCGGCGTAAAACCGTACTCACTCACTCACTCAAACTACAGATTTATTTCCGATGGTCCCCCACCCCCCTCCCCAAAAAAACATTGCGACAATGAAAACAAAATATGTTATATATCAGTAGACGTAGATTGCATGTACAGATGCTCGAAGCTTCAAACAAGACTAGTTCCGCCCTAATAGTACAATGTTTGGATTTATTGGCATGGATACCAGATATATAAAATACAAAGAAAAAGTTCTTATGACTCTATTCATGACTCTATGTTAGTGTTGAAGTCAGAATAAAAGTATTGTCATTTCTTTGAAAATGCATGGAATAGCATTTCAATTTCACATCAGAAATATCTGGATCTAAATGTTCCCATAGTTTATCCTTAACTGCTGGGGTAAAGAAACACCCATGTTTGGTGGTGGGTAACCTGGGTTATTTGATACGGGTATCCTAGCTGTATATTGTACTATAAGTTTGCAGTGTTTCGGCGATAGTTTTCAGCCTAGTAACGTTTGGAGAGTGTTTGAACTTTTTGTGGTTAAATCCAATTTTCTGTATATTCTTCCTTTTGTCCAGCAGTGTATTACAGCGACAAATGTGAAAGACACTGATTCGTTAAACAAGGAATAATACTGTCGAACATGTTGCAAAACACTAAAACATTAAAAGCCCGAATTATATGTTGTCATAGCAGTTTACAAGAGTGAGTGAGTGAGTGAGTGAGTGAGTGAGTGAATATTGAGAGGACCATCCAAAGTATACTCACCGCCAAAAGAAACGCGAATACCATATATATTGGTTAATATATGAAGACGTACTCAGATTCAAGAGATATTAGATTGGTTCGATGCACAAACGAACACACTGGTATGTTGTGTGAACCGATGCTCATGAACGCATCACATGTGACGTCATACATCCATGACTCGAGATGCACCATTTGTCTCATGCAGGAATAGCGTGTAAAGTTTGGAAATCACGTGCAGCATATCGTGATAAGAATCACTGTGGTAACACTTGACTGATTGTTAGTTAGTCATTAAGTGGTACACATTGGAAACATCACACAACTTAACGTATATACTTCTCTATGTGTTTCTATGGTTCGCATTTCTTTCAGCGGTGAGTATATTACAAATCGTAGACCACGCTTGTAATACACAAGAACATTGTCATGGTACTGACAAACCAATAATTAGAATCGAACCGTGGATTCGAACCAACGTAAGCGTACCATGTGGTAATGTACTAAACATAAGACCCGTGAAGATCCGGGTTAGAATAGGTCTTCAGCAACCCATGCTTGCCGTAACAGGCGACTAAGGGGATGATGATTTGTTTGATACATGTCATCGTATCCCAATTGCGTGGATCGATGCTGATGATGTCAATTGGTCGATTGACATCAATTGGATTGCTTGGTCCAGACTCAGGACTATTGCTGAGTGCGGCGTTAAACAACACACAAACAAACAAACAACAAACAATCTTACCGTGATGCGTGTGGTTGTAGTAGTTCCTGGGGTAGAGTTTGTAAGTCGTGTATATCAAGCGGTCTATCACACTGTGCAGCACGGGATCACACGGAGAGATTCCAGTTGAGGCAATCTGCCAATCTCAGACTTATATAAGCCTGTAACGCTTCCGCTGTGAATCACGCTCTTGAGTGTTAACCAACTCCCATGCTATTTTTACTCACTTTCTTGAATACTTCCTTTCATAATTTTGCCAGATAAAAGAACTTTCCCAAGGGTGGTGAATTATAATCACCGTGTAAATAATGCACCTGCTTATATAAAGCCAGCCAATGAAAAGAAAGCGAAAGAAGTTGTGTTTTTTGTTAGTCGTCTCGGGCTCCGTACATGGTTGTGACTAGTTGTAGGTAAGTAGTAGGGCCCGGATACGGGATTGACATGGGGACAATACGATTTAAATAAAGCTGCGTTTGCCGACGTTTAATGGTTAGAATATTTAATTCAAGAACCCTCGACATATTTGACGCGTCTGTGGTATGTTTGAGATTGTGACCACGTGACGAGTTAAGGTACGACTGCGTGGTTGGGTAGTGATTATGTAACATCAACAAGATGAGAGCAAGAGAATTAGGCGTTGCTAGTTTTCACAGGATCAGCTGACAATTGGTTGTCGTTGGCTTCATCGGCGTGATGGGGAGTGTTTGCATGTAACAAAGATAGCGAAGGGTGAGTTTTGGGCACAGACGCCTTTGTCATGCTGGACCAGAGGAAAGGAGTTACCCGCCATCCATACAAACTCTCCCCTTTTGGATCTTAATCATGCCATTATCAAATGTAGCCATGTGGGTGTTCGCCTCCAGATGCTTTGTAAGGAAAGGGCGTTATAATTATTCTGCCTTCGGCTACATTTACATTCGCTCCAATATGAGTACTTCACATGCTGATCATATACTTCTTTTAAAAATCACAATATTGTATTAGTTTGTAAAATTACGTACGTTGGAATGTAGTTGCGTCGGAGTAGAATATTTGATCTGACGTCACGGGGTGTGTGACGTCATTCGTGTGTCTGCGCATATATTTCTGTCATATTTCTTGGTGAGGAGAAATTGTCTGTTAATACACGTCAACATGCGTCAAAACCAGTCAGCATCGGTTAGTATCCGTCAATACCCGTCAACACTCGTCAACACCCGCCAACATTCCTCAATACCCGTCAACACTCGTCAACACCCGTCAACACTCGTCAACACCCGTCAACATTCGTCAACACCCGTCAACAGTCGTCAACACACGTCAACATTCGCCAATACTCGTCAACACTCGTCAACGCCCGCCAACATTCCTCAATACCCGCCAACACTCGTCAACACCCGTCAACACTCGTCAACACCCGTCAAAATTCGTCAACACCCGTCAACACTCGTCAACACCCGTCAACGTTCGCCACTACCGGTCAACACTCGTCAACACCCGCCAACATTCCTCAATACCCGTCAACACTCGTCAACACCCGTCAACATTCGCCAATACTCGTCAACACTCGTCAACACCCGTCAACATTCGTCAGCACCCGCCAACATTCCTCAATACTCGATAACATTCGGTAATACTCGTCAACATCCGTAAAACACCTGAAGCATCTGTCAAATCGGCCACCCGCGCTAGTTTTCGTAAGCGCAAGAGAAGACTCGGCTGTGATTGTAGAAAAGGGGGCAACTTGCCCCCATACAGTAAAAAGGGGCGGTCGGGTAGCCTAGTGGTTAAAGCGTTCGCTTACACGCCGAAGACCCGGGTTCGATTCCCGACATGGGTACAATGTGTGATGCCCATTTCTGGTGTCCCCCGCCGTGATATTGCTGGAATATTGCTAAAAGCGGCGTAAAACCATATTCACTCACTCACTCCCCATACAGTAAATATGTGTCCACCTAAACACGCTCGCTGATGCACATTTTTTGTTCATCTGTATCGAGTTTGCGTTAGTCTTATATATACTTTAGTTACTTATTCAAAAGTTTTCTTTCCTATATAAACTGACGTCCAAAAGAAACTTTACCAGAGTTTGACATCACTCTTGCTCAAAAACAACAGAACATACATGCATGAAGTAAAGTGTATTGAGAAGATCAATATATCAACATAATCAACACTGAAAATGACAATCATACTACGACCGAGAATGACGTCAGAGCCCCCCAAAGTTGGGTGTGGTACAAAACTCGAGCTTTCAGAATCATGGACAATAGGCAGGGTACATAAACAATCGCTCACGTTCAATAACAAGTCATTAGTAGCGTGTGTGACCACCAAATGCCTCAATACACGCAAAAACTCTTCGACGCACAGAAAAAGTCAGTCGTCTGATGACGTCACGAGGGATTTGTCGCCATTCTTCTTGGAGGGCCAAGATCAGTGCTTGCCGGTTGGCTGGAGAGTGTGGTCGTTGTCGAACACGACGATCCATCAAGTACCAGAGGTGTTCTATGGAGTACATGTCGTTTGAGCGTGCAGGCCACGGCAGGGCGTTGACGTTGTTGGCTGCGAGGAAGTAAGTGACAATTCTGGCTGTATGGGCTCTAGCGTTGTCATGCTGATAAATGACACCACGTGGCTGCTGTTGGAGAAATGGTAGGACAACTGGACGAAGAATGTTATCCATGTAACGCTGAGCTGTCAAGTTTCCGTTTCCGACCAGCGGTGTCCTCTCCTGCCCACAGATCCCTCCCCACACCATGATACTCCCTCCACCATATGGTGCGACCTCCTGCACGCAACACGCCGCCGTTCGTTCACCCCTTCGGCGGTAAATACGTTGTCTTCCATCAGCCCTAAACATACAGAATCGACTTTCGTCAGTGAAGACAACCCTCTGCCAGTCACGTCGTTGCCAACGTCGTACAGTCCGGGCCCATCTCAATCTCAATTGCGCTGTCAATAGCTGTCCTCTGTATGGTCTAAAAGCCCTGATTCCATGAGCCCTGAGTCTCCTGGCCACTGTCTGTCGACTAACCCTGTGACCTAAGGCATTTGTCGCCGATGACGTCACTGTCAGGAAGCGATTTCGGAGGTGCAAGGTACGCAAATACCGGTCATCATGGGGCGTGGTCACCCTGGGTCTGCCTGTTCTTGGCCTGTCAGCGGCCCGCCCTGTTTCTCTGTAACGTTAAATCAAGTTGGTAACGGCAACACGGGAGCAACCGAAGGTTCGTGCAATATGTGCGTGGGTGGCTCCCATCTGTACCATACCCAAGACTCGTTCACGTTGTTCGACTGTGAGTCGTGGCATTTCTTTTGTGTTTTTTTACCACTGTGGATGTCTGACTTGCCGTTGCAATCGTTTTATACCCTTACCCGCACGTGCATTTGCAGTTGTCCGTGGTGCACGTGTTTTTCACCTTTTCGCGTGTTATCTCGCAAACATGTAACAGACGATTAACATTTTCTGCATACACTATTGCTGTATTTACGTTATGTGTTTTAGATAGACTTCATCGGGAAAAAAATGATACTTTGTCTGAAATTTATATTTTCAGTTGGTAAACTTTCTTTTAGACGTCAGTTTATATTCAGCAAGAATATATTCGGGTAGAATAGTTCTTTAGCCACCCTTGCTTGCCGTAAACGGCGACTATGCTCGCAAGTGCCAGGTGATGAGATCGTATCCCGCTAGTGACCTGGTTCTTATTCAGTCTTTGGACCAACAATGTCTACAGGTCCTCCCAGTGATGTCACTACCCCTTGTGTAAAGTACATTCACCCTGTACACTCAAAAGAACCCACTCGTCCGATGGAAGATGACCAGATGGTGGAAACACGAATACCTACATACACCCGAAACACAAGTGTCAGAACTTGCCGTGTCACCCTGGGCACGTGCCCTGGTTCGCCCAGCAGGGAATGGTTACCCGATATGTGAGGTGTATGTAAAAACCTTCTAGCGCCCCTGGGCAGTGTGGGTTGTATACTCCCCAGGGAATTGAGAATGAGAACTCGAAAGCAAACGGATCCACAGGTCGGGGATCAAATAAAACCGCATTTGAGTAGATATTGGTACCTTAATACCTACAGGAAACAAGTATAATAAGTGATTAAGTCTAATGACTGAAAATTTCAGTGATTATGTCTAATAACTGATTCACTCGGTGGTTATGTCTAATTACTGAAATCTTCAGTAATTAGACATAATCACTGAAATGAACCAAGGGATTTTATACTTGTTTACTGAAAGCATATCCCTGCCTTGTTTTTATAATGTGTGCTAGTTTTGAAATTAGATTAGCTATCAAAGTAAATACAACCTCCTGTAACCAGATACCTTACACAAAAATCACAGAAATAAGCTTAAACAGTTCAATCTTTCATTTCATAAAATGGTATGACATGAATGGTATGACAAATAGCAGTCAGATGGACACTCAGGAATGTTTGTTTGCACATGAAAGACTTGAATGACATCTAGAATTGCATTGCATCTTGGCCTTAAAACATTTGCAGCGATTGGTCTGACACCGTTTAGTTCCAACACAATTACACCTTACAAAGCCTTGACCACCACAGACTGAGTCAAGTTGAACCGCTTGACTCAAAGAGAGTGTTCGATCGGTATTGAAATCGGTATTGAAACTGGATGAACTTAAGTCCTACAGTCCAATCACTTTCCGTTTGTTTACAGGAGATTGGCTTAGGACAGGACAGCCTTCTCACAAGTTATTATAAAAAGGCAGGGATATGCTTTCAGTAAACAAGTATAAAATCCCTTGGTTCATTTCAGTTATTATGTCTAATTACTGAAGATTTCAGTAATTAGACATAACCACTGAGTGAATCAGTTATTAGACATAATCACTGAAATTTCCAGTTATTAGACTTAATCACTGATTATACTTGTTTCCTGTAACATATAAAGGTATAGTTTAGTTTAGTTTTAGTTTACAGGTACCGATTTTCCTTTCGTTTTTACACAGGCAGATATTTGGTTGTGCAATTTGCATCGTGTCACAAAAGATAATAAGCCGTCACCAATCTGTCTCCAAGAGACACGTATCTTAAACACACAGACTTATTTGACCAAAGGTAATACAACTGTCATCATTCATGTATAACAACTGCGTGTAACGATGCTCATGATGTCAACCACTGGACTGTCTGGTCCAGACTTGATTATTTACAGACCGCCGTCATATAGCTGGAATATTACTGAGTGCGGCGTTA